CACATATCAAACATTCCCCTATGGGAACATAAACTTGAGTGATTATGGAAAGAAGTGTCAAAGTGACTTCCTGCTGGATCTCTATTCCAAATTGAAGGACTATGAGACTAAAACAGGCTTGAGTGTCCTTCCATCATTACAGTCAGTTTTCCAGTCAGCTCCTGCAGTCTGGTCCATAAACCTCTCAGAGAGAAAGACCTCCATCCTCCTGGAAGTGCTGAAACTCCAACCAGAGAAGAAACAAGTGGAGCTGACAGGCTGCTCGTATGAAGAGAGTGAAGTGAGGAGTTTCCTGCAGTGTCTGCCTTATATCTCACAGCTCAGGTAAATAAGACAGATTTTAATTAATATTTTCATTTGCAGAATATTTTCAGCATGTTCTTTGGTTTCATCTTCACTGTGTTTCAGCTGTGATCCAGACTTCTTCCAGAGAGTGTGTACATCCATGTCTGTAAGATCCAGAGAGGAGGCCCAGCAGCTGGAGTCTCTGCTGCAGCTCCTGGGGTTCCAGCTGCTGTTAACAGGAGAGTTACACAGGAAAAGCTGCTGGTCTGTGGGGAGAGTTCTCAGACTGTGTGGCTCTAAAGTGGATCTCATCCTCACACCCAGCAAGATGTCTGCCAGAGGAGCCGCTCTCCTCTTTAGACACACAACACAACTACACAGTCTGAGGCAGGAAATGAAATCATGACTCTCTTGTTCTTCTAACACCATTTATCTGCTGTCCACTTTGAATCTTTGGTTCTTGGTGTTCATCATTTCTGCTCTTTTGTCTCTTTGATCTTCAGGCCGTCCATAGACATGGTCTTGCTCCTGTTTCAGTGGGTAAGAAGAGGCAGAGTGGTCTGTCCACTGGCTGTGGAAGAGCTTTCTCTTGTGCCTAAGAAAGCCCGACCATCACAGAGAGTATTGTTGAGGGCTGTCAGTAGTTTGGCTTCCCTGCTGAGACACTGGACAGTCGGACGGTTGGACCTGACTGAGAGCTGCATCCCTGCTCAGGGTCTGATTACACTGCTGCTCCATGATGGTCCTCTAACAGTCAAGTAAATGTCTTCCTGAACATCACAGGCCAAATAAAATGTAGAGTTTTACTTTAAAGCTTGTTTTATATTTATGATCTCTGCAGACTGAGTGAAGAGAGCTTCCAGCAGCTTCTGTGTCTCCTCCATGAAATCCAGGACAAGGACTTGACACACAGCAGCCGGGACACACACACTACACTACTGGAGTGAGTGTCACACACTGATCCTTCTCTGGGAGGCACCAATAACCATCAGCCTGTTCACACACACTACAATAATATGATGTGCAGTGATCACTTAGAGCCTCTTGTTGTGTTTGTGTTACAGTCTGAGTCACAATCAGATCACTGATGCTTCGACTGATGTGTTACTGCAGCTGCTCTCCATCAACCCCTCCATCGACTGTGTGCGGTGAGCCAACATGAATCAGTCCCCATCAGTGAAGGAGTTTCTCCTCAGACTCTCAGAGGAATCATTCACAGTCTGAGCTCACATGGATTCATGTTGTTCTGAGTGAATGAGTGACGTCTGCTCTCTCTGCTTTGGTCTCTTTCTAGACTCTACAGCAACAACATCGTGCACAGAGCAGCCTTCAAGGAACACAAGCAGTTTGAGATCTGGTGAAGAACTCATCACCATCATCATATCATCATCATCATTGTCATCATCAGGGAGCTGTGGTTTTATGGTCTCATAATTGTTTCTTGCTAATCTGTAATGTACAACAGCAATAATGGTTCAGTAAGCTTTAATAGCTACTTTAGAATGTTTTATTTTGCTTTATTGTATTTCTTTATTATGTCATTATTAAAAATAGTATTTGTATAGAGACGAGCACACCTCAGACTGTTTCTGAAAGTTCTGCAGATTTTTGTTTTATGGAGCTCTGATTGAAGCTATGCAACAGTCATCCTAATGTTTACACATCAGATTGTTTTATCGTGATTAAATTATTTTCGCATAGTGAAAAAATAAAGTGAGGCTGTAATTGTTACATTAAAGTTGTGAGTCAACTTTGTTTATTTTTGTTACTTTTGCAAAAACTGTACTGATGTTGGACTTTATGTGTCAGTCAAAACATAAAGATGTCATAATGATTTTCACAGTAGTCAAGCAATAACATTACAGTCAGGTGGCATGACAACAAAGATACCAGTGAGTGTCATTTCTTTATTTTAAATGAACTAGTGCAAGAAATAAAGGTGTGGTGTAAAACACGGTGCATATTTAGATTTTATGAAATACATGTGAAAATCAAATCAGTTTACAAATATCACTTTTAATCATGTAAATGTACAAAATGTGATTTTGACTGAAAACAGTCTGTCTTTAAAAATAGTGCACTAAAATTTCACACAACTCTTACATTTTTTGATATGGGAATTATAATTATATAACAACACTGAGAATGGTTTTATCATCATATACATATTAAGAGAGAGTATGTCATCACACAGCACTGAGCAGGTTAAATGAGATTAATATTGTTTAGCACTCAGGATGCAGAGTGGGTTGTCTGTTAACATTATGATTTGAGCGTGCCTCAAATCATAATCTGTAGTTCAGTCTATGCGCACACATCTGGACAGCAACACAGTTTTTGTAGTTTTGTCTCAAAGGATTTTAATTCAGCCGATTAATATGAAATTGAAGTGTCGTCTTTTAGCTTGAATTTTAGGGTTTTAACAGAAATGTTGTGCTAACTATTCAGGATTTAGAGCCATTTTTTATACATAGTGCCCCATTTTCAGAGGCTCAAAGTCACCGGACACGTATAAAGGCTGTTTTAATTCCTCCCTTGAGATGCTTACGTGCTCTCTTGGATGAGATGTTGGGTTAGATGTTGTGAAATTGTTTTCCTTAACCATGGAAATAATTTTGTCATCATGCACTTTTCCTGTCTTCTGTGATCTTTCAGGCCTTGTTGCTGGCATTGCTTCTTTTTAAGAATGAACCAGACTGTTGATTTGGCCTCTTCTGAAGTTTTTGCTTTCTCTCTAAACAGGCTTTTAGAGTTAACTATAGCTAATAGCTGAATATGGCTTATTCACATTCACATGAAATTGCTTTTCGGTCAGTGGTTCAAATAATTTTGAGCCTTTTGAAATATGGACTGTGCATAAAAATGCAATTTGTACAGTGTGTTTGGTTTCTGTGTGAGCTGTGGGCTCAACTAATGCATCACACATTGTATATTACTTGTTCCATGGATCTAGGATGTAGCGCAGGCATCTACTAATCTTAAAGTTGGTGACTGCTCCAGTCTGGATGCCAATTATTCTTGGGCAAGCTACTAACACCAAGTCACTCTCTGATGCATCTATTGGAGTTTTGCATGTGTGTGAGTGTTAGATAGAAAGCACTTAAGCATAGAAAAAAAACTGCTTGTATAACAGTGGTTAATGAGGCATGTTGTATTAAACACTCTGATGCCCCATGAGATTAGAAAAGTGCTACATCAGTCTATTTACCCACTGTTAGACATCAGTCCCATGAGAGTTTCTGTTAGTGTTGACAAAATGTCTTCCTTTTCATTTCCTTAGTGACTATCTGTCACGGACCCGGTTCCGGGGACTCGGGGTTCGTGAACAGTGTGGACCTTTATTGTTATTAGTGTATTGGATGTATGTTTGCTGCACTGTGTTCTTGTGTTCCATGCTGGTGTGTGTACACGTGTGTGAGGCTGGAGGATGAAGGACAGCCACCTGCAGGCCTGATGGGTGTGGCCCTGCCAGCTGCTGGTCACGCCTAGCTTACCACACACCTGCTTCTGATCAGGATCGTCGGGGGAGCTACTTAACAGAGCGATGGAGCTTCCTCCGGCGCAGGATTGTTGAGTTAGACTCCATGTCAGTGTTTGTAGTGCTGGTCAGTGTATGCCTGCTGGAGTTGGTGCCATAACGGCTGTGTCTGTGTTTTTTCCTCAGGAGAGTGGAACACAGGACTGCAAGACACACGGGGTGTGTGAAGGCACAGGGGCAGAGAGCACGGGATACCAGCACTTGGGAGAAGACACGTCACGGGAGTCGAGGGAGCACTTTTGGAGATTCAATGTGTGGTGTACATTTACCTCACTGTAAATAAACCCACTGTTCATTTCATTAAGTCCAGCGTTTGGGTCCTTTCTCCAACATCCCCCACGGTCTGCCCCCCAGACCGTGACACTATCATCAAATTATTTCAAATCATGTTTGATTCTACCAAATTAAACAAATATATCTACAATAATTTTACACTTTTATAGTACAACCCCATTTCCACGAAACTTTTGACGCTGTGGAAAATATAATAAAAATAGAATGCAATCATCTGCAAATCTGCTAAACCCATATTTTATTCACAACAGAACGTCACATGTTTCTACGGACATATTTTACTATATCATGAAAAACATGAACCTAGTACAACCAAATGAAGCTCAGCTGTAAAGTTGGAGCAGTACAAAGTGTGTTTGTCACAGGAATTTGCCTGTATTTGGTTGATGATGTTAGATTATAGAAATATCTGTGAATAAATAACATTAAATTCACTTTGAAGTGATTTTCACACTGCTTTATTAAGCTATGGGAGAATACCAGAGATAAACACACTGTAACCTTTAATGTTTAGGTGTGTGCAATATTTCAGATCTGTAATGTGCAGCTGCCATGTCAGAAATAAACATCAGTATTGACATTGCACTGAGCAACAATATAGTGTTAAACTGAGCTGATAGATTTCTTGTCCTGCTTTTTTATATGTGATGATCAAATCACAATTGTATTTGCAGCACAAGTGTTAAATCTTACTATTTATTTATATGTTCTTTATACTACTGTGTTTGCAGTAGGAAGTGCTCAATCAGTTAATTTTGTACAGGAGAACAGATGCTACCTTTCAGGTGAGCATACACAAACCCTGAATCAGAAAGCCTGACTTACCCAAAAAGTTCATATCCTTATCTAACAGGGTGAGGCTGAATTTAAAAACACAAAGGGGTGAACTTAGGGAGGCAGCTTTATTGCGCTGTGGAAAAAATTTAATTCAGGATATAAGAAACAAAATCCAAAACTAGTAGTTGCGAGGAAACCGAGGAACACGGAGAAACACACAGCTAGTGGGACGACATGACGACGGGCCAGGGAAACAGAGGACTCAAATACACAAAGGATAAGGAGGGAATGAGGAACAGGAGGGAAACACAGCTGGGACTAATCAGACACAATGAGACAGGAAGGAAGCAAAAATGAAGACAGGGCAAAGCACTATCAAAATAAAACAGGAAATATACATAAACTCAGACTCAAGACATGCAAGCACAGTGACTCGGGAGACAATAATAAACATGGAAACAGTACTTAACATGCATGGAGGCAAAAAGTGAAACAGACTAGATAAAAAACTCAAAACCAGAAATACAAGTGACTAAACTAGGAACACTACTGGAACAAGTAGGACAAACAAGGAAACTGAACCATAAATAATACTAAATCCCACATTATAAATGAAATCAGAAAAACACAAATACTGGGTCACTGATGCAGTATCATGAAATTTACTTCTTTATAAATCTGAATAACAATGTTATACTTCAGAAGCTTTGTCTCCAAATTTTGATGCTATTATTACGGTTATTTAATGAAGAGGTATCATATAAACATTATGAGCTGAACTAAACTTCAGAGAAACATAACATACAAAAAAAAGAATCCTGGGATAATAATAGATTCCATTTTTCAATAACTGAAGTTTCCATCATCATTTAAACCATCAACTGATTGAATCCATGAATCTGAAAACATGTTTTTGACTGTGAGAGACAGACATGTACCGACTGAAATGTTCAACAAGACTATTCATACTAAACTACACACAGACACACTGAAGAACCAAATGAGACCGTAAACCCAGGATAAAGAGGTTCAGTGAATGTGGTGTTGAAGGTGTGGAGGTGGATCAGAGTGTTAGAGACTCTGTAGAAGGACAGAGTGCCAGCAGGACAGTCCACATACACTGCTACTCTCTTAGAGACAGAGGAGGAGGAAATGGATGTTTTTTGCTTATTGTGCCACGCAGAGTAACCACAATAATCAGAGCAGCTCAGGCTCCAGGACTGATCATTTTTTCCAAACACACAGCCTGTCCTCCCCTTCCTTCTGATTGTTCTGTAACTCACTGATATATAAACTCCTCCTCTCCATTCGACCTCCCAGTAACAACGACCAGTCAGACCATTTCTGCACAGCAGTTGAGGACAGATGCAATCAAATCTGTCTGGATGATCGGGATATGGAAGACCCTCCCACACAAACATCACCTTCCTGTTGTTGTCAGACAGTTGGAGGTTTGTGTGTACTGTGTTTGTGTCGATTGTGAGTTGACAGGAATCTGATGGAGAGAACAAACACAATACAGCTGCAGTTATTGGTCTGTCATCTGTTCATTGATTGACACTTTGATGATGACTTCTGACATCAGAGATGTGAATGAGTGATGTGACAGTTTGAAGATGGTTGAATGTGTGCTGCTTTGTTTTCATGAATCACATTAAGAACACACTTACACTTCCTCAGACCTGGTCTCAACCATCGTACTCCAGCAGGCTCCACCCTGAAAGGAGGAGGGGGGTCAGACCAGCACAGTCTCTTTCAGCATGCACACATGGACATTACATCACTCTCATACACATGCTGTTAGACACTGATAAAGGAACAGTCCAACATATTTATAAAAATTGCAGGCTGAGCAGACATTTTGACTTTTTTGTTGTAAGCATGTTATTTACTTTACTCTTCAGTTTGTGTGAAACGTATTAAAAAAAAAAAAATCCCCAAAATTAACTCACGGTGATGTGGTCTGAAAGGTACATATTATGGGCAGCACAGCTTCACCATATAGATTCAGCACAGCCTTATAGATTTAAAATTATTATAATTTATTTATATCAAAGTACTGATATATTTTTGTTTGTTTCATAAAATAGTTTGTTTAATAAATGAGTCCATAATTTATAAAACAAACAAATAGACTAAACAAGTGATTTAAGCAGTGATTAAATTAATATCAGTTCAACTGAATTATATTTTTAAAGTGCCAGTCATGACAACAGCTGCCTGTAGGCACTTTAGTTGCTAAATAAAAAAACAATCACACAATCCTTCATGAGCATTTTTAGAAAGAAGCACTCCACCTTTAGAGCAAACAAATTTGGCCAACGTTACACTGCATGAGCCAGCGTGTCTGTGAAGGTTGTGTGAAGCATCTTCTTGGAGGGTTACACATCCACATGTTGTTATTTATTTATTAAGAACTAGGGTATGTAAACTTTGAATTAGGGTCATGTTGGTATTTTCTGTCTTCAGTAAGATTTTTAAAACAGGCAAACACAGTTGTTTAATAAATGGCTTCCCCCAACCAGTAACTATGAGTGAAAGATAAGTGCTCCCTTATTCTTTTAAGGGAGCACAGTTTCAACAGTAACGGTCAGAAACAGCAGCATAGCAGTGCAATGCATTTTAATTAGATGCTGATGCTTAATTATTTCACGTGACTAATATGTTAGTTTAACTCTTTTGATGGAGCTCATACATGTTTGATGTCCAAATATCATACACATCGAGCAATGAGGCAAGTGTACCAGAGGGAATAAAGGACAGAAAGAACTGTCATCTATTACTGTTATATCAGAGACTGGCTGTGGCTGCAAAAGACTTCTCTATACCTAAGAGTGTGGAGTCCCCAGGATGGATCCTTCAGTATAGCGGACAGCTGCTTTACTTGTTCCTGTCCTGGATGATTGTAGCTCAGGTCCAGCTCCCTCAGATAAGAAGGGTTGGAGCTCAGAGCTGAGATGAGAAAACCACAAGCTTCGTCTGTGATCAAACAACCTGACAACCTGCAGACACAAAGCATGACAGCTAATCTTCCAGAACAGCAGTGCAGTTAAAAAGAAACTTACGCAGAAAGACTAATATATATATATATATATATATATATATATATATATATATATATATATATATATATATATATATATATATATAGTGGTTTAGTGTGTAGTGGACAAACTACAATGTTAACCAGAAGATGGCACTAAATTAAAACACAGATGATCATTTAGGTTACTATAAATCACTGAGAGGAAACATTAAAATCTAAATGTTTTATCATAGTCAATGAAATGATAAACAATGAAATATAATAGTTCAAATAAAAGTAGAATAGTTAAAATGAAAGTAAAAAATATAAATCTATGCTAAACTTAAACTAAGTTGGAACCTATTTTTAGTCTTTAACCAAATTCAAGTAAAAATCGGAATTATTTTTGACGATACATTATGGTGGAAAGAAGGAGAAAATTTATGAAAAATCTTAAAAACCGTCTGTCTAACAATCATAAAAATTAAGCTAACGAAAGTGTTTATTAGTAATAAAAACAAATGTAGAATCCTGACCTGAGTGTTTCTAGTTTACAGTGAAGACTTCCTAATCCAGAAGACAACACTTTCACTCCTGATTTTGCCAGGTCATTGTTACTCAAGTCCAGCTCAATTAGACTACAGAACTGGGAACTGAGAATGGAGGATATAATTTCACAGCTTCTCTGTGATAGGTCACAGCCACTCAGTCTGGAAAGACAACAAAGCACCAAAAAATAAAAGATAATTCTTGTACATGCAAAGTCTTTACTGGCCTACTCTGAATAAATAAAGTGCTTAAAATGAAATGCTTAACTCTTTCCAGTAAATGTATATATGAGTTTGTTAGTCTCATCAAGTTGTCTCATCACCAGAGTTTATAAATCTTAATAATAAAAAACATGAATATACATCTGTAAAACATCAAACATCAAATTCAAAGTCTGGGAAGTTTTCTTTTTAAATATCTACTAATTACCTTCTCACATCAAATTGCAAAATACATTATCTGACCTGATAGTTTTCAGTGTAATGTGTGGATGCTTCAGTCCAGCAGATATCAACTTCACTCCTGAGTCCCGCAGGTTGTTGTTACTCAGATCTATAGCTGTCAATTCACAGTCCTCCATTTTAAGCACAGAGGACAGAGCTTCACAGCTTCTTTCTGACAGGTTACAGCTATTTAGCCTGAAGATACAGTAATATAAAATTAAGCAGTGATAGATGTGTTTGTCATTCCTGTTAAAGGGAGAGAAGGATCTTTAAATCTTTAAATCTTTATAACTTACAGAGCTTTTTGAGAAGCTTTGACCACTGGCAGCAGCCTCAGAAGAGCATCCTCTGAAGCAGAATATTTCTTCAAGTCAAAAACCTCAAGGTCTTCTTCTGACGACAGTAAGATGAAAACCAGAGCTGACCACTGAGCAGGAGACAGCTCATCTGTGGAGAATTGTTCTGAACTCAAAGACTGTTGGATCTTCTCCACTATGGCACGATCATTCAGCTCATTTAGACAGTGGAACAGGTTGATGCTTTTCTCTACAGACAGATTCTCATTGAGCTTCTTCTTGATGTACTGGACAGTTTCCTGATTGATCTGTGAGCCATTTCCTGTCTGTGTCAGAAGACCTTGTAGGAGGTTCTGATTGGACTGCAGTGAAAGACCCAGGAGGAAGCGAAGAAACAAGTCCAGTAATCCATTTGGACTCTGTAAGGCCTTTTCGACAGCACTCTCATAGAATTGAGACCCTGTATGTTGTCTTGTTTCAAAGTTCCTGGAGGTGTTTTGTTCCTCTTCCAGCAGATTGACTCCAGTGTTGATGAAGGTCAGATGGACATGAAGAGCAGCCAAAAACTCCTGAACACTCAGATGGATGAAGCAGAACACCTTGTCCTGGTACAGTCCTCTCTCCTCTCTAAAGATCTGTGTGAACACTCCTGAGTACACTGAGGCTGCTGTGATATCGATGCCACACTCTGTCAGGTCTGATTCATAGAAGATCAGGTTGTCTTTCTGCAGCTGATCAAAAGCCAGTTTTCCCAGAGACTCAACCATCTTCCTGCTCTCTGGACTCCAGTGTGGATCTGTCTCAGCTCCTCCATCATACTTGAACTTCTTCACTTTTGTCTGAACCACCAGGAAGTGGATGTACATATCAGTCAAGGTCTTTGGCAGCTGTCCTCCCTCTCTGGTTTTTAGCACATCCTCCAGAACTGTAGCAGTGATCCAGCAGAAGACTGGGATGTGGCACATGATGTGGAGGCTTCGTGATGTCTTGATATGGGAGATGATCCTGCTGGCCTGCTTCTCATCTCTAGATCTCTTCCTGAAGTACTCCTCCTTCTGTGGGTCAGTGAACCCCCTGACCTCTGTCACCATGTCCACACACTCAGCAGGGATCTGATTGGCTGCTGCAGGTCGTGTGGTTATCCAGAGCTGAGCAGAGGGAAGCAGGTTCCCCTTGATGAGGTTTATCAGCAGCGCATCCACTGAGGTGGACTTTCTAGGGTCAGTTATGAGCTCAGTGTTGTGGAAATCCAGAGGAAGTCGGCACTCATCCAGACCATCAAAGATAAACAAAACCTGGAAGTCCTCAAAGCTGCAGATTCTTACTTCTCTGATTTCACTAAAGAAGAGATTAACAAGTTCCACCAAACTAAACTTGTTCTCTTTAAGGACATTCAGTTCTCTGAATGCAAATGGAAATATGAACTGAAAGTTCTGGTTAGCTTTTTTTTCAGCCCAGTCTAGCGTGAACTTCTGTGTTAAGACTGTTTTCCCAATCCCAGCCACTCCCTTTGTCAGGACTGTTCTGATTGGTTTATCTCTTCCAGGTGGGGCTTTAAAGATGTCTTCTTGTCTAATTGTTGTTTCTTTTTTGTGTAGTCTCCTGGATGCTGTTTCAATCTGTCTGATCTCATGTTTGGCATTCACATTTCCAGTCCCTCCCTCTGTGATGTAGAGCTCTGTGTAGATCTGATTCAGAAGGGTTGGATTTCCTGTTTTAGCGATCCCCTCAAACACACACCCAAATTTCTTTTTTAGGTGAGATTTAAGTTCATATTGATAACGTCGAGCAAAGATTTCTGAAAACATAAAATAAATAACCCAAATACATGAATTATTATATAGTCAACATCTCATTCCTCTAAAGAGTGAACATATGTTTGTCTAGCTCTTGAGATATTTGTTGCATTTATCCAGCAGCTGCAGTCTTGAGAAAAATCCTCTTACTGTTTTGCAGACTATCAGCAAGTTCCTCTTGCTTAATTTTCCTCAGGAAGTGCAGTGTAATCTTCACAAAAGCCTCTCTGCTGTTTTCCCTCTGCTCTTTAACCTCAGCCTCCAGCATCTCTTCATCCTTGCTCTGACTTTCTAAGTATTCTGGAAAATCTGCATGTAAAACCTTCTGTAGCTCCTTCAGTTGTTTCTTCACAAAAGAGATGATGTTGTCCTCCACGAGCTGGAACAAAATACCACACGAATGATACAATAAATTGAAATAATTGAGCCAAACATTAGATCCATGTTGTACACACTAACAATCCACTGGTCTGCAAAATGCAGCATGGAGATGACTGTGAACAAAATATATGTAAAACTGGTTATAAATGTACAGACCATAAATATTGACTCCAAGTGTGTTTGACACAGATGTGCAGATTGCCCACTGGGTACCTCTGAGCTCTCCTGGTCCAAGCTATGGAGGAATCAAAATAAACCTATCATATAGGTAACAAAAATTCTACGAGTGGCCAAATCAATAATCTGATATATATTTTTAAAGAGAAAGACTTCAATCACCACTTAAGCATTATCAAAAGAAAACAACACTGAATCTTAACAAAGTCAAGAACACTCTTAAAGAGGTAGGAGTATAATTGGCACTCCCAAGCCCAATCTAGGCCAAATCAAACATGTGGTCATCAAGAATGTGATTTCTATACCGGACTGGTCAGGACCTGGGTTAACAAACAACTCTGCGTATTAACAGGGTGACAGTAGAAACTGCCAGTATTGGCTAAAGGCAAAAAAGGAGGAGAAGGGAAAGGCATATTCAAATCCAGTGAGAGAGAAGGAAAGTAACAATATGGGCTTTAAATGGTGGGCCACAATTGGTAAACAAAGCAAATTGGTTGAGCGAAAGAAGGGACATAGAAATGTTGTTGTTTGTGGAAGGACAGCAAGGCCAGGGGCGTTGGAGGTGGATTCAAACTGTTGTTCAAAGGTGTAGATATGAAACATAATGAAGTAGGAGGAAGGAAAAGTATGTGAATAGTGCTGTGTAGGTCAAAAGAATGTCAGACAGGATCTAAGGAGCTTGGAAAGAAAAAGGTCATGAGTTTAACACCAATAATCAACGGGTGATGTTGAGTGTTTTTAGTGGGCATGCCCAACAGGTTCTTCCGAAATGTCATTCGGAAGAGAAACACAAATTATGAAGTAAGCTAGGTGAAATGCAGCAAAACAAAAATTAACAAAATTTATTTGTTTTCTATATCTTAACAAAGTCAACATGCTTCTGCTTACTTTACAGAATTAGCCTGTTCATCTTTAAAATCAGTAGGCTGTTTCCTTGAATTATTGCTCTTAAAGGAGACATTGCTGGATTCATCTTTATATTCATGTCCACGTGCGTCTGGTCTTTGATGAATCCTGACAGAAGAAAAGTTATTAAATTCCGCAAATGTTTCCTTGCACATAAAACCTTAAAATGTGTATTTGAAGTTCAAATCAGTTAATACCAATAACAACTTACATTTTACCAAAGGAACTTTTTTGTCTGAAATTAATCACAACTTCCTTTGAATCACTGCTTTTTAAGGATAAACAGCTGGGTTCAGCTCCAGGTTGGTTCCTGTGAATAATGATGGAGCAGTGATGTGAGTGCTGAGGTGTGACATGGAGAAGAGTCATGGACAGTTAGAGATGGTCATCTCACCTCTGAGCTTTGGTCTGGCTCTCATGTTCCCCACACAGAGTGGTTTTAGATGGAGGGGCTCCCTCCTCTCTGTCCTCACACTGATACATGCTGCTGAATTGACGTCAGCTCACACACACTTTCTACCTTCACCTTCCGAGGAAACACAAATCATTCATGTGCACATCAACTGAAATCCTCCTTTCCATCATGTGTGCTGTCCAAATATCAGCTGCTTCTTTTCTGCTTCATCTCAGTGTCAGCTGAATGCAGTCAGACAGCAGTGTGAGGCAGAGGAAGCTGCCATCAGCTGCTCTACTTCTACTATCAGTCCACTAGATGACGCCATGAATCACACACTGAAATACACTGAGTCACTGTAACTGGAAGCTTCAGTTCATTAATAATCACTCAGTTTAACACATCTAAACAGGATTTTAAAACAATTTGGATGATCCATAATTCAGAGAGGATCAGTAGTATTTAAGGTAAAGTGAAGAAGTGGATATTACTGTTTGAATATGTGATGATTATAATTATTGTGAGTACAAGAAAACAATGATTAGAATAAAATGGGCTCAAGTTTGTTTAGATGACAGGGTGCAGCTGTAGATCACACGAATAGGACAGGATTTGTGAATGTGTGTGTTTTAGGTTGGTTTAGCTATAAGCCTGGGTGTGTGTAACTGTAGAGAGAGAAGAATTTATTGACAGTGGGGGTCTGCCTGACATAAAACGAAATAGGAAGCCACAGTTGGAGGGTGCTAGAAATGTGTGGAACAGCTAGAAAAGAGAGAAGTAGTTCGTTGCCCTTCAGCCTGAGGTGCAGAGAGTACGTCATACCCCCACACATCCTGTTTATAGGGTGCCTGAGCATTGGTGTTACACACAGACACGCACACTCACACACATATAGTGCTATGTATATTCATATATCATCATTTAGGAAAGTTGTTTTGAATATTGTAGATGACCATTAGAAATAAACACCAAGTCTAAATGTAAGGACCTGCTGGACTGTCCCTCAGATCTGCTTCTAGGTTGAAAGATCTCCCTCCGCGCAGAGCATCAGGGTGTTTGTAACTTCAGAGTGGTTTTTTTAGCTGGGTGATAAAAGGACCAGCAGTATAGAGTGAAGATTACAACATTATCTACCCAATGTATGAGTTTTAGTTTAAAATTGTATAAATCATGGTAAACTAAGGTTCACAAGTGTTTCTCTAAATTGTGTTTTTATATTAAGTAACAATTCTTTTATCTTTTGCCTGAACATATGGATAGGAAGTCACACATTTTGTTGTTACACATTAGACCAATGACATCAGTATTTGCAGAAATATATGGAGGTGACTGACAAGTTTCCATGTTACCATGGCAACGTGTTTCACTTCCTTTGGTTGCATTTGTATCTGTCAGAAAAAAAGAGAAGAGAGAAGACAGGAAACTGCTGCCAGCAGCATCTTTGCAATGTGGTTTGCATTTTCACCATGTGACGTCACATGTCTAGGATGAGTTTTAGTATAACAGGCTGACACGGGAGAAATCAGTGTCAGCTTTGTGCATTCATCCCAGTCTTTGCTGTTTCTTCTGTGATATATGCAAGCTTACATACATACATATATACATTATATTATTAAGATTAAATATGTTTAATATTTTTGCTTCAATGTAATAAAAAATTAAATAACTTCTTTTTGACCTATGGAACAAAAGTCTTTACTGCCAGATGTAGCAGGTGTAAATCCTCAGTAACAACCCACCAGGCTGGGCAATGAGTACACAGTGACAGTCAGAAAACTAGACCCTTTAATGGTAATACATACAAATTATTATTAGTTATTATCATTATTATCAAATTATTATTATTAAGCTTTAAAATGTTGGAGCAGGATCAAATAAAGTCCATTATAAATGTGTACTACTCAAAGAAATAATTAAAGCGTTCTGTTAATAGAGCAGGAGCGGGAATGGTTTTACAGGTGGAGGGCACTAACATTTTTCCCTCTTCATCTTTTCTGTCTGTCTTGTCATTAGTTTTGCTTTGGCTAAGGTCATTGTCCCTACTGGCACCAAGAGGTGATACCAGAACGTTTGCTGTAAAGTCTCGAGAGCATCAAGGAGATTCCAGGAGACAGTCACTCTGGTAGAGCTGGACGGGGTCATAAAATGTCCTGAGCCATCAGCAGTATCTGTTCTTTTGTGCAAGGAGGAACAGGATGAGCACTGTCAGAGCCTTACAAAACAACCTCCAAGAGTCCACTGGTGTAAATGACTGAACAATTAGAAACAGACTTCACAAAGGCGAAGATCCTGTGGTGAAGGTCGAGATCCTCTACTGGGCCCCGTACTCACTCCCCAGCACCACAGCACCAGCCTGATTGTCATTTGCTGTGGAGTACTAGAATTAGCAGGTCCACCACTGGCACCCTGTGTTTTTTACAGATGAGAGCAGGGTTACCCTGAGCATGTGTGACAGCTGTGAAAGGCTCTAAAAAAGCAGTGGAGAACGTCATGCTGCCTGTAACATGTCAGCATGTCCGGTTTAGTGTTGGGTCAGTGATGGTCTGAGGACACAAATTGATGGAGGGATACACAGACTTCTACAGGCTGGGCAACTACACCCTGACTGCCATTAGGTATCAGGATGAAATCCCCAGACCCATGTCCTACCTGACAGTGGTGGAGAGGGTCCTGGGTACCTCCTGATGAAAAATGTGGCGAGAGTATGCAGGCAGTTCCTGCAGGATGAAGGAACTGACAGCACTGACTGGCCCCCAAGCTTGCCTAACCTAAATCCAACAGAACAACTCTGGGACATTATGTTTGAGTCCATCTGATGCCACCACGTTTTTCCCTCAGACTGCTGAGAAAGTCAGTGATGCCCTTCTCCAGATCTGTGATAAGATCCCTCTGTACACCCTCCACCCTCTTGTCAGGAACACACCCAGACATTGTCAGGCTTGCATACAAGCACATGACGTCCATACAGACGACTGAATACCATTTTGGGTTGGTGCCATTAAATTTCATCAAAATGGACTCACTTTGGTTTTCTGAGCATCTTTGAATTCATTATGTTTATTATTTTCATTCCCATCAAACGACATGGCCTCTTTTCATTCCGACCACATTACCCATTCAATATCAGTACAAATATCCACTGTGTCCTTTTTCCCCACTGACATCTGATGTGTTTTCAAAGTGTTCATTTTTTGAGCAGTTACATGTTCACTCTGTTCTAGGAAGAAATCAGTAGAAATACACAAATGAAATGTCAACTATACATGATTATATCATTTCTCCAATAAACAGAAATGTTGAGCTCTTAATAATTAGGAAAAAAAACCCTTAAAGGTAGGTGTGGTGGAAGACACCAAAATGAAAGCATTGCTCTCATCTTAACAAGTGTTCTCAGACAAATGTAGTAAAAGTAAAAATACTGTTCATTTGGAGCAGCTCCTGTCTATAGTTTAATCATTGAATTATGGAAGGTGTACTTTGAGTTGAAGTAACTGTAGCAGTGGGAATATCTCAAGCAGAAAAAAAGAAGTATTCAAAGTTACTCGAAGAGAGCAGTGAAGAAAAAATATTGAGTTAACTTTCAGGTCCAGGAGAAGATCAAATTTGTAAAGCCAGTTTCAAAATAAAAGACAAATCCTCACGGTGAAAATATTTAAATAGGAATTCAAATATAGTTAATAAGTAGGTAAGTTCCTTGGCTCACATACAAAGAAGCGCACACAGATAAAATTGTGGCTGACACATTTACCTGCTGGCCTCCTTCATTCACTCTGAGTCTGTCACTGTGAGCTATGAGCGGCAGAGTTGTGCTGGAACTAAACAGCGCACAGCTGATGTGATCCAGGAAAACATTACAGACCGCCTCACTCACCTTCACACGGAGCTTCATATGGAAACGATCATCTGATACGAAATACAGGAAAGTGAAATGAAACTTCAATGAGGAAGGAAACACTCAGAGATGCGTTTAAGGCCAATCAGAATCGACAAAATCAACATCTGATCACTTTATAGTTTTAATCTTTTTGGGGAGAGAAATTGACGCATATATCAATGTTTGTCTTACGGTGTAATTTTTTGTCACTTAAACGTCAAACACACAGGCCTATTTTTTTAACTTGAAGGATTAAGCTCTTAGTTTCTTCAATGCTTAAAACATTTATTTTTTGAAGTCTGACAGTTTACTGTTGTTTTGTGTGAGCTGCATCCTTGATTAAGTTCTGAACTGAAGTTGGGTTTTTGGGGAGCAGCAAAGCTTCACAGGGAGCAAAATAAATGCAGAACGTCCTACATATTTAATGAAAGCCAGTCATTTATATCAGAATGTAGTTCAAAGTTTTACCAGCAGAGAGCGACAACTCCCCAATTTATGTCAAACTCGTTCACAGTTGATATTAGTTTTACTAGAGCTTCAGTGAACGTTCATCGTATTTTAAACAGATAACTGAGAGTTCCTCTGATGATGAAACAGTAATGCGCCATTTGTGGTGTTGCAGAGCTGTGGGACTGTACTTGTGGTCATTATGGGACGATTCCTCTGGTTTGAGCAAAAAGATTTTAACGCTGGAAATCCATCAGCTCACTTTAACAGACAGCGGCTCGATTTACTAACAGTCCGCACCAGAGAAACAAACATGTTCAGGCATTAAAAAACTACGGCTGGAATTTTCAAGTGGTGTAGTGTCATTTTTGTGACTGAGAGGCATGGTCACAGCAAGTCTTTTTATGGCAGACCTATAATGTATTTCACATTTTACATTAATAATAATATTTGTGGCATGCAGTAAATTTAACACTGGGATTTGTGATGGTTTGAGTGTTTACCTGGATTCAGGGGGAAAGGTCAGAAAAATATAAATGGGATGGGTGTACGACTCAAAGATGTGAGTGTAGTGCTAAAACTTTGTCTCTGTCCTGCAACTCTTCACAAAAGGGATTCTTTTCTCAGCAGTGCACACAGAGTGATTTTCATATAGTTCACCCCCCCATCAGAGCTATGCAGACCATATTGAAATGCAACTGTTAATACGACTGTGGCAGATTTTAAGAAGAACCTGTAGCCTCACACAGAAAAAAAAGAGCAAAACCCTTGTTTACCTACATTACACAGCATCAGTATGTTCATTAACATACAGAGTTTCAAACATGAAGACCACATGTTCTGGTGAACTGTTTAAAAACATCAACAAAAACACTTTTGCTGTAGCCTATAGATTTAAATCTCTTTATATTCCATTACAGATGCTACTGTTACTTACCCCAAACATTAGGCACTGTTATGCTACTACTATCATCTACTACTGTTACTATTACTACTGCAAAATAAAAAAAAGGCAGTATAATAAACAAACAAACAAGATGAGAGACAAATAAAACTATATGTATTAACAGTGTATAAACAAATTTCATAAAGACAAAATAGTCTTTAGCCCAGAATTGTGAAATTATTTTCTTACAGCATTAAAACTAATTAAATTAAAATAAATACAAAATGAAGGTAAACACAACAAACATAAACAGAGCAGTGTACAGTACCTGGTTTGAAAGTTGACCTTTTCCAAGATTTTAAAGTCTAAAAGACCCTTATTATTATAATGTCTTTACATTACAATATAAATATATAATATAGGCAGCTGTTGTTGTGATTTGGCACTATATAAATAAAAGTGAAATGAAAAGTTCAGTGACACTCATCTCACTCTGGGTTTTTGTTCAAACTTGGTTCTGTCAGTTTTCATTCCAAAATCATATTTCACAATCTTCATCAGTTTTAAGGTTAAACAGTATTAATGGAACCAGTGAGTTTTCTGTCCATGCTTCTGGTCTACAGTGTGCACAGAAAGGCTGATGAGTTCAACTTCACCCCATAACCAAACCCAGGATAAAGAGTTTCAGTGAAAGTGGTGTTGAAGGTGTGGAGGTGGATCAGAGTGTCAGAGGAGACTCTGTAGAAGGACAGAGTGCCAGCAGGACAGTCCACATACACTGCTACTCTGTGAGAAACATTAGATAATGACGTTACTGTAATGGGAGTCCCGCTGTTGTTGTGCCAGGCGCTATACCCTCCATCAGTGCAGGTCAGACACCAGGACTGCTCATTGCCTCCAAATTTTGAGGCATCAATGTCTCCGTTCCTTCCGATCCCTCTGTAGCTTACTGCAATATAAACCTTTCCAACCCACTCGACCTCCCAGTAACAGCGACCAGTCACACCATTTTCACACAGCACCTGAGGCCAGTAATCAAATCTCTCTGGGTGGTCAGGATACGGGTGCTCCTTTCTCAGGTCTGTCACTTTTTTGTTGCTTTCGGATAATTTGAGGAATTTGTGAGCTGTGTTTGGGTCCAGCGTGAATTCACAGAAATCTACCAAAAAGAGCATAAAAATCTTTGGTTAATATTGTCTAAAGTTTCCTGTTTTTCATGTATATCTATATTTAAACTGCATTAAGTTGATTTTTGGCTAAGTCAATTTTTTTAGTAAGTGATGTTTCCATCTGGGGTAAAACTACCTCCTCCAGTGTGTTGTAGCCTGCCACTGGGGACGTTTGAGGACATGTCGGTGGACTCATATTTGATATGACATGAGAAAATACTTAAGGGAAACAAGCTCAACATATGCAGTACCGAAAACTGCAAATGGTTTGAAAAGAATCAAGACGTTCAAGATCAAAACTCTAAATTAAAAAGGTTTGCGATCCATCCCCTCCATGTATGAATTAAAAGAACGGGACTTAACATTCAGCCCTGATGTGGTTGATGAAGCACAAATAATACAATATATAAAATGTTGGTTTTAATGTTGCATTAAAGCAGAGGGGCGATCGTGGCTCAAGAGCTGGGAGTTCGCCTTGTGATCGGAAGGTTGCCGGTTTGAGCCCTGGGTCAGACAGTCTCGGTCGTTGTGTCCTTGGGCAAAACACTTCACCCATTGCCTACTGGTGGTGGTCAGAGGGCCCCCTGGCGCCAGTGTCCAGCAGCCTCGTCTGATTGGGACTAGTAAAGCGCTATACAAATACAGGCCATTTACCATTATACAGTAACATTTACTACGCAAGAATGCACAAAATGCTATATCATGATGAATAAGAGAAAGTAATTCAAAAGAAAAACTATGACTCATTGAAAGTGGGGGAGAGAGCTCAACAGGGGAAGTATAAACATAGTACATTAGAAAAAACAAAAAAAGCACTTACACTTCCTCAGACTTGATTTTAACCACTCGATTCCAACTGGGTCAGCTCTGCAAGATATGGGAGGAGAAATTATTATCTTCCTTTGTTATGGTACGTCGCAAATACTTCTAAACACTAAGATGCAGATAAAGTTAAATAAAGCAAAACACCAAATATAGAAAGATTGTTGTAATATTTGTGAAGTATCCCTTTGGTAAACACAACTAAGAGCAAATAGTCTGCAAAAGAAATCTTTGCATATCACAGAACTACTGAAAATCCTAATCCTAGTTAAGTTTGCATGTAGATGCGGAGGAGGACTTTTTCATGTTTTTAATCAGGGTGATTGCTGACCTGAGATTTTCTATTCTCCAGTGTGGATCATTCAACTCAGCAGCCAAAAGTTTCACTCCTGTGTCTCCAGGGTGATTGTAGGACAGGTCGACCTCTCTCAGATGGGAGGAGGGGTTGGAGTTCAGAGCTGAGGCCAGAGCAATACACCCTTCATGCGTGATCATGCAGCCTGTCAACCTGCAAACGCAAAACTACCATTAACTAGGATATATTAAATTTTATGAGATAAGATATATTATACTTCTTTTATCCAGGGAGTTGGAAAAGGGTGTCACAGGAGCCAATGCATTAAACAAAATCTATTTAAAAAGGCCATAAATGAAGTAGAATAACACAATTAAATAAAAGCGATTTAAAATAGCCCAGTAAGGGAAAAACTTATAGAGTGAAAAGAACAAGCTGCAAAGTGAAATAAAATAAAATTTAAATAATACAAAAATGAAACAATACTGCAATCTGTGAATCTTAGAGAAAGAGCTCCATTGTCTGTGCAGCAACTGTTGCAGATTGAGGTTATTCTATATTATATTACATATTATCCACACCCATTTGGCTTACCTCTGAATCTGCTGATGGACAAACCCAAACAGTGTATTCAAACTGAAAAGAGCATTTCCCATCACTAGCAGACTTTCAGATGCTCCAGAATCACTGTGGACAAATACTGGGTGACCTAGTCACCTTTGACACTAAACCCCAAATTACCTTCTCTGATCAAACAATCGTCACCCAGCTGTACAATAAAGAGAAATACACACACACTTTTTTGTTTCTTTTTCTTTTTCTTGTTTTTTTTTAAATGTCATAATGCATATGACTAAACCAAGTACATTTTCTTGAATTGAGATTTTGGAAAACAAATATGAGGTGCAATGACAATGAAAAAAAGTAAATACATAAATGTTCATTTTTAAAGCAACTCAGTAAAACAGAAGATATTGAACTGACCTAAGAGTTTCCAGGGCGCAATGTGGACTTTCCAGACCTCTGGATAGTGCCTTGACTCCTTTGTCCTGCAGGTCATTGTTACTCAAGTCCAGCTCTCTGAGTCTACAGGATGGAGAGCTGAGAATTGTGGACAGAGCGTCACAACTTCGTTCTGTAAGGTTACAGCCACTCAGTCTGGAAAAACATAGGAGAATAAATAAACACATATTTAAAAGAAAAGGAGAAAAAAAATCTGGTTTTAACAACTATCACATGAACCAAAATACCCAAACCAATATCTGTACCCACTTACAGAGCTTTCTTAGAGGCCGTGACCACTGGTAGCAGCCTCAGAAGTGCAACCTCAGAAGCAGAGTATTTCTTCAGGTCAAACACATCTAGATCTTCTTCTGATGACAGT